ACATGGGTCCATATCTTTTATTCAATTTAGAGAGGGTTTTAAATTAAACAGGTTTAATCTAGACAGGTTCTACTGTACAATCTTTTGACTGCTAATACTCCCGACATGTTCTTGGATAGAGCCAACCCAGCCACAATCAGTTGCTTAGAAATATAAATAGCCTTCAAATTGAATTATGAAAGCAGTGGTGAAGCAAAATTATATCCAGACGGTATGTGAAAAAGATGAGTAGTGAGCAATACATCAAGAATTATAAAATAGACAAAGCAGCAATATATAGCTTTTATGTTGCTGCATCCACAAAAGCGATCCATCCTTTTTTTAATTATCTGAGTCATAGTCGTCCAATTTGCATCACCTGCGCTTTCAAAGCAATTTATCTGCGCAAATGCTCTGGTAACAGCGAGTCGCGTCTCCACATACCCATGTTAAAATTTTGTCGTTTTGTGCAAAAGTGGCACGTAAAATGTGGCAGTATAAACCGCCCCCTCATTGTTCACCGAGCAACACCTACAATCCTTTGATAAGACCAGGCCTCTATATTGGATCAATATTCGCCGTTTAATAATCAATGTTCATACAGGCAGATGGTCTTGCATAAATAACAAGGATGCAGGTGATTTTGAGGCCATAAATCAGTACACGGCTGAGTGCAATTAGCACCTCCCCCTTCGGATACGGCTACACAGTGTATCGCCGGGTTAGAGCGATGGTATACGTTTAGGGCTGGGAGAGTTCACATGCCCATTATTATTGTGGGACACCTCGGCATCCTCACAAAGACTTTCTTTAAGCACGTCGGTGGCGTAGTCCGCGTTGATTTTGTGTGGGCTTGTTGAGCCATGTGATTTGTCGCACTGAAGGATCCTCTCACTTAAGTTTGTTGTGAAGATTTAGCTTAGTAACGTGTAGAGAGTGTGGTGGGAGTCCATGCGCAGTGTCGTGATAGAACAAAATTACGTGTGAAACCCAGTGTGGTCTTCATCTTAAGGGAATGGGTAATTGAGCAAGTACTGTAATCTTGTGTGCTTATCCTTTACACATTTGATACAATTGTTTTATTACAATAAAAACGGTACAAATGTCCAGATGTCACATATACTAATAAGTACCGGAATATCGAAATTCATGAAGATGATAAGGGGAGTCCGTGGTGAAGATGGACTGATAGCCACATCTTAAAAAAGACATAAGAGGCAGTGAAATGCAGATGTAGTACTAATCCGAGTAGCATTAAACCGTAATATATGTAATACTACAAAATTTAGCTAGATACTTACTTAAGGTGGAAGAAAATTGATCTCGCTCCAGGTTACTCATCTTGTAATGAAGCTTTAGCCTGTGGAACGAATGCGAGAGGTAGATTCACCCCGATTATTCCGTAAAGCGCAGTCGGGATGTCGATCAGCTTGCAACGATGTTAATTGCCACAAATACAGCAGGCTGCCCTTCACTCTCGTACTCTTAGGCTCAACGCCTCAAGAAAAAGACGACAATAAGTGAGTCGACATATAGTGCATTTAAAACCCATTTAAATGTAGTCCATCCCGACTTGAGACTCTCCTGGATAGTTAAATTTTAGCAAAGCCAGCAATCATCGTGTGTAATCTGGCACCGACATGTGTATCGGTGAAATTTGTGGCTGTCAACTAGGTTCAAGGCCTCAACGCAAAGCGTTCTTATACTTTGCTTAAAATTGCACTGCCGTTGATTATTGTTTAGAAGTACGGAAACGAGGTTACACATACTCTGGTAACAGGGGTGTGAGTCACAACAGATGGGCATGGTGTGACCACACCCAAACAAGAATACGGTACGAGGCGAAAGCCAGTACTTATACATGTATTTATATTTTACTATATATATAAAATCCATGCGTCAGACTGATCTTTTGTGAGGAGTGGGGATGGAACATTTTTCCTCTTTGCCCCAGGGCATTCAGGACGGGCTTAACAAGCTAATGTCCTTGTTGCGCAAGGCCCCGAGGCAATCGATGCGCGTCTAGAGGCGTTTTTGAGTTACAAAAACTTGCTGCCAGAGCACCTGCAGCAAAAGATGTCTGCTTCATTTGCGTCTATGACGCCCACGCCAATAACGGGTGACTTCCCCCGCCCTAAGCCGCTCATGATGGGCGATTAGGTCTATGAGGGGAAGGATAAAGAGAATCTCCTGCTCCGCGTGAGAGAGGTA